CCTGGCGGAGAATTTTCCTTGAATTGGGACACTGCACTCCTGTACACGTATGTCCATGCCCCTCGTTTAGTTTGTGCGCATGCGTTCTGAATGTCACTATAGCCAGAAGCCAGTAAAATGGCTCTTGACTCGAACAGATGGACCCCAAAAGTAATCGATCAACATGAAGCTCAGAAAAAGTTGTTTGCCCCTTATTTACACACCAATTAGTATTTAAAGACTCAAAGTCCCTTTTGATAACTCGCACACGATAAAAAATCTTTTCTGCCAAATTTTTGCCCGTCTTTCTTACGTGCCTCTGAAGTAACAGAGTCAGAAGTTGGAAGTGAAACCAACATTTTAGAGGGGATTTTTTTTTCAGTTTTGCCGAGTTTTCCCTGACATTTCTGTAGGCCTACTTGTGAATAGTGAGGAATATCGTGAACGCTCATGGAATTAGGAAACCGTATGGATGAGAATGGAAAGTCTTTTGTTTGGGCCTTTTAGTTGGGGCAGTTTCACATTGTTTGTACGTATTAGTGCAATGCCGTAAAGTCAATGCGTACCGAAGCGCACTCGTCCCCAGGTGATGTGCGTGTACGTGTATGCCATGCCCAAAATCCGGACATCTCAGTTTTGACCGCTGTCTGGTCATATCCGACTCAGTGCAGAAATTTGAATCCGCATGAAAAACAAACCGCATTTCCGATAAATGTCTCTCTATCTTGAAGGAATGAACTGATAGATACAAACGAGCCATCAGTCTTCCACTCAGTATCACCGATGACCCGAGGGGAATTAGACAAAAGTGTGAAAATCGGACACTTACGTAAGGTGAAAAGTTTGATAAAAACGATAATTTTTCATAATTATCCTTTGTTGCAAAATTGACGTTGTTCACTTCTTTGATTAGTTTCCGGAAATCTTTCTTATCAGAAGCTATTATATATCACCATTTGATAGATTCCTGGCAATTTATTCACACGCAAGGTCTTCAAGAGAAATGGCAGGATAACTCCTCACCAATATGCATCGTCTGCTAAAATATCAGTTTTCAGGCCGGCGACCATATGTTGCTATTGCGCATGCGCGAATTCAAACACTAGATGCCCACGCAGTCAAAGTTCACTCACTATACCGCTGGATACTATTGCACCTGCATGAATAGCAGGCGAAAGGGCAGATAGTTGTGTGTAGTGCATTATAGATGTGATCCGCGAAAGCCGACTGTAGAAGTAGTCAACGGTACCGGTATACGTTCTACGATAATTTTATACAACCCAGTAGTAGGTGGCGAAACTACATCTATATATTACAGCATTTGGGGATAATCGAAATTAAACACCTTAATATCTGGTTACTGCGTTATAAAAACACACGTATGTCTATATTAGAGAGTTTTGTATGTGTCTGGCTGGATACTATCAATCTGTATGTGGTGGCCACCTGGAGATAGAATGCGACAGACAACCGAGTCCGCCAGTTCATTCAAGATGAGGTATTTAGAGCTTGTGTCCCGAACTAGAAGACGAAAATCAAAATCTGGGTGGACAAGCAATGGTATCGTTCATTGCACTTTTTCAACATTCCTGGCGAAAGTACAGGTTCTGTACGGAAGCACTAGATATGTGTGTTGCTTGCATCCATACAAGGATCATATTTCCAAGGACAAACCCGCTTAAAAAACACGCAGGCACACGGAAGACACAAAATGCTCAGGTTGAGAGGACGGGAGGGAAGTGTTACATCCAACTTAAAATCTCAACACTGAACACTGGGGGTCATGAGGTGTGGATACCAAGTTCAAGAGACAATCTTTACAGTTGGGAACAGAGAAATTGCGTTCCGGCATTTGATTTACCAAGTACATTTTGTCTTACAACCATTGGGGAATGCTTCCATCAACACAGTTTTCATGTTCAAATTTGCTTTGTAATTAGTTCTCGTGGTTGTAAGCACTTTCCAAGTCTTTTTAGCTCATGTGTGCTATAAAAAAATGCTGCGCAAGGAAATACCCTCCAACACCAGGAACGTATAGGTGTTAACGAATTTATATCTTAACCATGATTGTTTCTTTAAACCAAAACTCATTTGTAATTTCAGGCAATGCAGCACTGTTTGCTGTACGAAGAGGCCGAAATACTGTTTACTTTTTAACCATCCTGGCGAACAAAAGACAGGGAAAGGCTGCTTCAGGGATGTAGATGAAGCCCTTGGACAAATCAGATAGAAGTGTAGTGAAATTCCTACTACAACTGCCACAGGCAGCCGTTGAATGGCATCCCTTGACGATTTGGTTAAGAGAGGTCACAAGCAGATGTTGGCTGGCTCTTCCCCTGTTAATAGTTTGTTACTGGATTACGGCAGTGTCCCTTTTGTGTTTGTGCATGTGCGAGGAGAGCATGCTGTATCTGTGTGCGGAGCAAGGCAGTCGCCATCACCCACTCGACGAGCTCGGTTGTCAAGACTGATGACTGCAAGGCCTCAACCAAGAAGTTTAGCTCTACAAAGTAGTCTTCTTTACGTTTCACATTTTTGGGGAGCTGTTGTCTGGAAGCGGGATAGGAGCTGAATTGGCAGTGCATACTCCTATACGGTAATTATCCCGGTGGAAGGACAACCCTTTCTCACCTTATTATTTATTTTCTGTATAAATTTGGAGAGAAATTTGCAATGGTATTTAATTACCTGTGGACTTACGACACCAGACTGATGCAAGTTACGTTGTTCAGGCATGTCCCATCTTTATAAGTGCTGCCGCATTCTCCAGCAACACATTTAGTTGGCATGACCTTTAAAGCACCTACAAATTGGACTGAATTTTCCGAACTCGACCCAAGACAAGCATTGATGTGCTAGCAGCGCGCAACAATATTTTTAATTACTTTTTTTTAGTGGGGAAGGGCGTTTCGCCCTTTTAAATTTTTTCTCTCCTATTTATTTATTAAAACAACAATTTGTACATTTTGGATATTGTTTGAAAACGTATAATTTTCATTTATAATTAACGAAAACCACTTTTAATAGGCCCAAACAGAACAATTCAAAGCAAAGAGATATAAACTCTTTTTGAAATGGAAATCTGTCCATAGTATCTTTCCAAAAGATTGTTGTTTTTATAAACAATTTACACGACAACTGAGAAAAAGAAACAAAAGGTTAATCATCGCCTAGGCTTACTAACATTTTTCCAGAAAAGGAATATGACTTGACCAAGTGCAGTCAAGCGACATCTCTAGAAGCAGAAGCACTATAGGTGTGGTCATCTCAAGCGCAAGTGGATGAGTGTCACATTTAGCAATAACGTGCTGCAACACGAAAGTTCATTGTTTGTACAGCACGTAATGCAGCTCAGAGGAATAGGAATAGCTGTCATTTCAACCAGGCAAGCCAGTCGTAGCAAACATATTGACTGGTTGCACCTACCAACCCATAGCAACGAATGTTTTAAATAAGTGTGGTTCACCAGTTTGTTTGAAATGTTTGTATGAAAGAACCCAGCACATCAGCAGTCTCCATGTACTGAGAGTCGGCTATATTTCTGATAAATAGTATTTACGACACTCGTTACTTTGGGAGGACGCTTTGTTTGTTGATATTTGATACCCACTATAGTTTACGTGACTTAGCGAATGTAATCGGTCTATTATGCAAATACATACGGAAGCGGTGGCCGCAAAAAATCCATATACATTGCACCAAATGCAGCCGCAGTCAACCACTTGGTCACAGCTTGTCTTCACAATTATATTTGTACATATGAACCTCATGACTCTTGGACACTGGTCGTAACGGTTTTTGCACCATTCTGATAGATTGGCTACTTTTGATCCGGTTTTTTCTCAGTAAATAGGACGTAGGTAAGTAAGCCTTGTTACAGGGTACATTTTGGCCAGATTCAGCTGTCTTTCTGTGGGTATTCACCTATAAAAGTAAACATGGTTAATTCAAAAAATCAATTCAAAGTATACATGGTGGGTAGAGTGTAATCAAGACGTTAGTGTCGGTCTGACCATAGAGGGATCCATAGAGGGATCTGTGCACTTCCGCGTTTGAAAAGGTTGTATGTGTCAGCTTCAATTCTTAATATGATCAGACGATTGAAAGTAAGGAGTTAAGACGCAAAGTACATAAAGGTATGTTAAATTCAGACTCGAAAAGGCTGCAAATTTTTGGGGGAAGAGTCTTTCAGGATGATTAGACACGTAAAATCAAAAGAAAAAAAATAATAATTGACGGCGAGCTAACGTGGACGTGGTTTAAACTGAAGTGCCGTCAAACTTACGTAACGAATACTCCATGTACTGTGTGGACTCCGCGGGCGCGCACGACGAAGTTTAACACAGAGAGCCTCGGTTTCGATGCAGATATGCGCAGACGGCGCTAATGTGAAATCTCTCTATAGTCCGACATAATTCTTGGACAATGGACCAGAGAGGGCGGGCACGTGGTAATGGTCTGGTGTTCGACTGTTGTGAAGGATTCAATCTGATCGATACAGGAAGGGGGCCCGAGAATTATTGTTCAATGATAGTCATATTAGCCAATAAGAACACGGTACCAATTTAGTAAAGTTCACATACTGGTTTAAGTACTGATTGTATTTCTCTTTTTCACCATTTTTTGTTTATTTACTTGCTTTTTGCAGTTACCATAATAATTTTAAGAACAAATACAAGAGTAATCACCATATGTTTGTTATTTTATATCAGAGGCACTGTATGTACTCATTTCTTTCTTCTTTCTTTTTTTGGAATCCACACAAAAGGTAAAACTGTGTCAGAAATGTTTCCCTACCCGCATTCATATGAAGTAAGTTAAATGTGACCTTTTTCTACATTTCTTTAGAAAGGGGCAAATTGTGCCAGAAAGTCTACCTAAACTGTTGGTGTTCATTTATAGCATTTTTCTGTCAAGACTATAATCATTATCTCGTTTTTATGTGCAAAGTGCGCAAAGAGACAGGAACGCATGCGGGAGTTGGCATTTTCAATTGATGAAGACGAAGAACATGGAAACAACCATGTTAAACATTGCATTGAAACAACCCACGGAAACGAGGCTATGGTCACGCCTTCGTCAGTTCAGAAGCTTCTCCAGGAACAGCGACGCCAACGGCAGAAGCGAGATGAATCCCAAGATGACAAATGCCACGTCGTAACTTCCAGTCTGGTCGTATATCCAACCTGAGAATTAGGCCAGATCAGAATAGTCAGGAGTCCCCTTCAAAAGAAGGAGGGGAAGTTTGTTTTCGACAAAATTACAGGGTGCTATTTTGCTTCAAAACAATTCTCTCCTCCCCTATACGCCCGTACAGGCCACTTAATTTTATATAAATCGGAAAAATATATAAATCAAGAGGTACAGACCCCATTTTGTTGGTTAACTTGCTTGAGAAGTGACGAGTGATAAAATACCGGTCCAGTTTTAAACCAGGTCTGAGCTGTTTCGGACCAACCTCACGTAGCTGATATTGCACAAGTTAAAACATACTGATTCATCATGATTGAGAGCGATTATAATTTTGTCACACGGTGCGTTGGTTCGATTAGCGAAGTGCATGATTGTGTGGCGCATTCCAGTTTGACGACAGTATTCACAAGGGTTAAAAGAAATTTGATCACGACAAAGTTATTTTTCATATGGATGTAATAAGAATCGGGAAGACGATAGTGTCGGTCAAGTAAAAAAGAGCTTCATGTGCAATGTCAAAACTTATCCGTCATTATTTATCAGGTAATTATGGTAATTATCCCAATCATTCTTACCAGGAAAGAATCCGAAAGCGATTTGAATGGTGGCGGACAGGAGATCCATCCAGCCGAAGGCGGAAACCAGTTCTTCAGCTCCAAGCAGTTCTCGTGTGTAAATGTCACCAAGTGATGCTTGCCCTCCAATAAAACCGTTGAACAGGAGGGCATTGACCATCATCAACCAGTAGGAGTTCATCCAGGGAAGTGTGGACAGAGCCACGCCGCAATTTATTACTGAAAGGAGCAAGCCAAGTCGCAGCTTCAACCAACCTTGGTCCACAACTACTCCAATAAGAATCTTAAAAGCCAGGTTCCCTATTCCCGCGGCTGTGGTGAACGTCACGGCCTCGTACCCGGAGAAACCTTTCGACTCGGCGTAGGCGACAAAGTATATCATCCAGAGGCTGTCCACGAAGAGACGGCTGCCGTAGACAAGCGTAGCTATTCCAAATGCTGTGCGGCTGCACACCGTACAACCGAAAATATTCCCCTGAGCCTTTGCAACGTCCCTCAGGATGCGGAGTAGGGATTTTTTCTCAGCATCAGGGCTGCTTGTTTCGTCAACAATTGGATCATTTTCACTGGAGATGATTGATTGGTAGTTGCCCGGCGGCCCCTCATGTGGTGGTCTTTTTAGCAGGAGGCCACACACACCAAGGTGCAGGCAGAGAGCCCCAAGCAGTAGTAAGGCACCTCGCCAGCCGTAAGTTTCTAAAAGCACTTGAGTCAATGGAGCAAATGTGATCAATCCCACCGGTTCTCCTGCAGTCCCTATTGCATTTGCTATGGCGTATTTCATAGTGAAATAACGACCCATCATGGCTCGCGATAGAACGTTGATGACCATTAAAGCAGGACCTGTGCATAAAAATTGCTCAGAAAATAAGTCATATAGGAAACAACTCCTTGCTCACTCTTTATGGGGGGGGTCCACTGCCTCTTGTAAGAACGCTGGCCAGTTCGAATCCCCATTCACACAAATATCTTGAAGGGTTGAAGGAAGTGCACGTGATGTCTACCTTTTACAGTTGTTCACGACCATGACTACCGGGTGCAGTGCGAAAGTGTAAATTGTTATAATTGCGCTTTTGCTTTTCATTAACATTTTGCTTAGTGTTCCACGCTCTGTTCTTCCATTTTTTAGCGTTTACTGTGGTCGAACTATGCTGGATCTATGGTGTTGCATGTGGACCAGATCAATGAAGTAATATTAGTCTATGTAATGTGAATGCGACAATGAGGCGTGCAGTACAAACTGGATCAAGTGATGATAACCAATTGGTCTCGTTAGGTAACACTGAAAGTGCTTTGCTGAGAGTGTGCAGGGAGGAGTTTGCAAGGCAACAGGGTAGTGCAATGCTTTAAGCCCCGCCCACTGTGCACATGAGCACTATTAGTGCGTGCTCTTCACCAATGCCACACAACGTTTCTGGTGGGTGCATAAAAAGCGCGCGCACGCATGTTGGAAGTTTTTGCATGCATGTCGGACACAAATCACTGCTTTGTTTGGTCAGAACAAGGTGGGGGCGAAGTGAATAAGTGCAACATCATCTGCTTATTGCTAATAGTCTCATTTCGAGATCACAAAGTTGTTAGACATTGCAATAAAGGTTTACTTAATACAGACGATCCGAAATCATATACTGATTCATGACGTGATGGATTCCCAGATAAAACCGTCAAGTTGTTGCCATGTATTTCAAATAAAACAAATCTGTTCCCTTAGCCTGTATGTTGTTCTTAGTGATCTCTAGATCAAGGAGGAATCTGAGTTTAAGCATGAGTCGGTACCCTAATTGGTTGCGGACTTGACACCCAACAGATTTAGGGTGGGACCGGGAATCCCTCCCACAACAGAATGTCAGTGCTTTTGAAACCACTGGCCGTAAATACTTCACTAACAAGTGAGCTAGTGGTCACAACTGACAAGCTTGACATATAACGAAAGTTGGAATGAAAAAACAGAAGTACGTACCAGCAATTAAGGATAGAGCAAGTGTCATCTGGATAGCGCTGGTCGAGAAGGACGAGACGATGACAGACGCCCCCAAGAGGAATCCACAGACAGTGACTACGATGCGGGTACCACACAACACCTCTAACGGCCTGGACAACGGAGCTGCGAGGCATTTTATAACATCGTAACAGGAACCAATACCTTCTTGTTAATTAGGAAACACTAGCATTGTCTATGCTGAGAGTTTACAAAGCTTATTGTTGTCCATTGGTGGCACCTTCTTGCACTGGACGATGCTATTCAAACACACCGATAATTATGGGAGCATACATTGCATGGCGTAAACTTAACACAATGTGTGGTGCGAATTTAGCACTACACGGTTTATTTTCAAAACCAAGCAGGGATAATCCGAAAACACATTTTAACAAGGTCGAGAAAACTATTCAGTCTTGAAGGTAACGGTTCCAGTGTCTCAACTCAAAGACAGAGCTTAATACGCCGGCAAGCTGCGACGTCTGCATGGCATAAAACCATTTTGATCCCAAGGCCCCGACCGTTTGATGCGTTTATGACCAAAAATCAAATCACTTCTTCTGGTGTTGCCAATCTGCCCCGTTATACACCTCGTGTGGCAGTTCTATAGAACGTTCTTTTCATCATTAAATGACCCCCCCCCCAAAAAAAAAAACTCAGAACGGTCATCCGTTGCTGCCAACAACCTTTGCATCAACGAGTGGTTAATCGTAAATAGATTGGAGGCTCTTGGTGTTTATAATTAGTGTGAAAACTGCAAAATTGCAACAACCCTGAATTAACCTTTGAATTTCTACCGTCAAGTTTTACCTACAAGATGATATATATTTAAATATCTTCGAGATCAGGATATTATGAATGGAATTCAGTGAATTCTTTTCTGTTTGTAGATTCAGTCCACGCTTAACTGAATTGACAAATTACACCATATATACAAGATTAAGTTTTCTTAGTATAAAGTAACATGTAAAATTCTAGGCTGTAAGAAGACTCAGAGTTTTGAACTTTTGGAATCCGCAGTTTGTTGCGTTCACGGAGAATCAGTTTCAACGGCAACTCACAGAAGTTACATAAATACACATCATATATTAAAGCGCAAACGCATACCTGCAAAACTGCCAGCGCCAGTGATGGTCGCTATCAATCCACCAATCATCCACGTGTCTGCCGTGAGTTGCTCTTGAAGCGTTGGCAGCAATACCCCTAGACTTTTGATGAGTCCTGCCCAAAGCAGCCACTCGACATGGACACAGAGTACGGCAAACCAGCCCACTTGGCGGTAACTTGCGCTGCATCGAGCACTCATCTTGAAGATTTGTCTCGAGAAGTGTGTCACCATGTACAGCGTGTTACGTGGCACCGCAACCACACCGATTGATAGCGGGTCACTGTGAGGGTGACTGTAGCTTCAAAATGAAGGTGCCCCACGGTCCCTATATGCCTTTGTAAGTTCAGGTGGTATTATTTCTGCATGGTTTGCACAGAACACCAAGAACCACAAAACTGTTAAATAAATCATCATTGTATGACTTATCTCTTGATAGTGTTAAGTGCGCCAGATACATAAAAACATCAACAGAACATGGGCACATCAGAAACAAGAGAATCTGCAGCCCAGAACATCTTTCAGCAGTTGAAATTAAACAACCATTTAACATTTATAAAATTTGATATTTCAAAAAAGGTATCTAATCTTACAATCGATCCGACTGGCCCAAGCCATTGAAGAAGAAAACAAGACAACGGTGAACCTGGTTGATGGCTCACAACTGTCGAAGAAGTCTGGTGGAACGGCAGGCTAACGCAAGCCCACTCTCTTGCCATCGTCTCTTTATACTCGACAGCTCGTTTCGACACTTGGCTGCACGCAGACAGTACAACCGGGGCGCACATGGCCCAGCGACAAAGGGAAATACACGAATTACCTCTGGCTGACCTAGTGCAAAAGCAAGCATTTATGCTTCCTAAGCGGGCTCACTATAGGCCTTTGTGATCGTTGGACGTTGAACAAAAATACACAGTGTGCTGGAGACACTTTAACTCGTTTGCTGCATATTATGACCCTAGGATAACTGAGTTTCAGGTGAGCCGCGAGAGGTTAATTGACTCGTGGAAAGGTGGTTAGTTTTCGACAGCAATGGCGGCCCTTTGTGAGAGCTCTTAACCTGGGAAAGCGCTTGGCACGCGCTTCAACGGGCCACATGGAGATGCGGTTCTTCGGGACGCGCACTGTATCGGCAAACTTTGTATACAGGTGTATCTTCAAATAGTGGTAGTCATGTTTCAGCAAAGTACTAAATACTATTACTTTGCCAAGTATTGTGAAGCTGACCGTGTCCTCGTTGAATAAACTAAAATTATGTACAGTATGTAATGCAAATTTAATCTATACGTATAAGTACAAAATTATGTAGTTTTTTCCTCCTTTATGACCTGTAGTGAGGTCCTCCTTAAAGTGATAAGCATATTATATAGGGATATATTTTATAGGTTATTTTTTATCTAGTTTTTTCTTTCACTTTTTTCCTTAATGGAGTAATAAATTTTGAATTGAATCAAATTGATTTCCGAATTCGAGTCAACTTGGTCCGAAACCAACTCAGTCCAAGTCAACTCTGTATCGGGTCAACTCGGTCCTGGATCAACTTGGTCCTGGATCAACTTGGTCTCAAGTAAACTTGGTCTCAATAAAAGCATAGTTGATTACAATGAAGACATGTAAAGTGATCCACTTTGGACAGTCATTTTCTTCTCGATCAGCTTTTAAAAGTTCTAAAACGTATTTTTGGCAAAAGCGTTATGGAGCTAACTGACCGACGGGCCTGGTTTAAAAATGATCGTGCCCCTTCTCATAAAAGAGCAGTGGTTCATAAACAGCTTCAAGCACTTTTCCCAAACATCTGAAATTGACAAATTGAGTTTGAAATAGTAACCTGAGATTGTTTGGGACTGGAAATATTTCATTTTCTTAGCAGCAACTTTGTGGCTGAATTTGGCAATCCCATAGCATTTCCTTTTCACGAGTCTCTGTTTGTTTTGTATTCGGTTTAATCTTTCCTGAGCACATACAAACAGCTTTGATGTCTTTTGTGAATTTCGTACGATCAAAAGTTTCAAATGAAAAGTATCTACTGACGGTGGGTAAGTTGCTAAGGGCTTTCCCCGTATGGTTTGAGGGGGCCTCGTCGAGTAAACATCGCAATTGGTCGAATGAACCATTTCATGGATGTTTGAGCTAGCAGAGCTATTGCGGATGTAAGTGAACATCACAAATTATTGCGTAGAAAAATCACCTATTAAATAGTTTAAAACCTGTGGAAAGAACAGAAAAATGAAGGATGTTGATGTTTTCAAAATCTTATTTTAATATTGTCGTTTTTGTCCAGTATGTGTTAATGATGTTGTGGAATCATAGCCATTTTAGATATAAATAACATGTCGAGTAAAATATCAAACAAACATTTGAAATATGTCTAATATTTTCATCAGTTTAATTGGATCTCAAGATATCACCAATTGCAGATGGCATGTTCAAAACTGCTTTGTTCACAGGAGCTTGATTGCTCATAAGTATGATCGAACACGATCATCTAACTAAAGGTAAGAAAGTCCTGTGGACAAATCAGTTTTTAGAATGCCATATGTAATAAGTGATATATTGGGATTCAATTAAACTATACCTACCATTTATTTAGGAATATTGGTGAGAACCCCACTATACTCATCGACACGAGTTTCAGAATTGCAGGATGTGAGTGAACAATCACCATAAACTTGGGTTTACTTTTTCCTTAACCACCCTGTACAGAGTTACCGACATTTTACATGTAATCCGGATAGTGCTAATGATATAATTGTCCCTGAGGTAAAGGTGCTCTTGCGCTATGTTACAATTTATCCCCCATTATAATTGCCCTGTAATTATTGGATTTTTTTATTGCCAGAATGAAGTTTGGCTATTTTGACTCCAAAGGCAGCTCATTCGGACAAACACTTTGATAAAGTAACAAACTGTCCAACTTTGTCCTGTCTGTTGTCAATCAGCCCAATGAATACACCTCGTGCCCGGAAGTCTATCGATCGACCTTTCTTTTGTAAACGAAATAAACCATCAGGTGGATCGTGTACCAGGTGGACGTCATGATGACGTCTTCAGGTTTCATATTACAATCAATAATGCTTTATACTTTCAAACGTTGGAATCCAAATGAAATCAGTCGCGAAACCTCATTTTGCTAGTTGCAAGTTGTTGAATAACCTTGGGTCTAAGTTTATTATTTTGTGTCGTTTGAGCAAAATTAACTGAACCGTCCTTCCTGCCGAAACAGAAAGTGCCTTTCGGTTGTTATCATATGAAAGTGATAGAACTTATTTCTTTGGCACTATAGGTGGTAAGGTGGTTATAGCCGCAGGGTACACATGAAAAGGAAGACCAACTCTGTAAAAAGTTGGAATACGGTGGACACTGTTTGAACGGTGTAGATATCAATGTTAATATGAACATTGGTCGAAGCATGGGGTTAGAAAAACTATGGCCCTAACCTTAACAAATCCTCCAATTTCAATATAATTTTGCACACACCCAAGGGGGTAGGTTTAAAGGTTTCTTGAAATTTAAGAGTACATAAGTTACATTAAGACAAAAATCATAATGAAAAATTCAGTCGTACGGAAAGACACTGTAAATACACCCACAGTGTAATGATTGATGTCCGTCCCTCCAGCTATTCCATAGTCACACTGCATGGTTTCCTCATCGACATTGTTTGCATTCCTTCCTCTGCCCCCCAACCCTCCTCTCCAGTCCATCCCATGGTATACCCTTTATATGCAGTCCACAGATGACCACCTAGTTAGTCTAATCATGAAAACTGCGGTAGAAGCAACACACCTGGAAAAAAAGTCTATGTGCGTAACAGTGTATTGTTATGTAACAATATAACACACAGTATCATACTTTGCCATGACAACAATAATAAAAAGTCACTAGAACTGTTTTGTAACATGAAATTAACTTAGTGCTGATCACCTTAATCAAGCAGTCATAACTTTCTCCGTACTTCCTTATACCTGAGTGACCATATCATTCACACCTGTGCAGGCAATTCTACTCCCATTGCTGTCATGTATCATTTTCTTCATATTTTGTTTACGAATTCACTGATTTTAAGTTCAACATATATCACTAGTTAAAAGTCTTTTCAATTTTAATGCTTGTTTTTCCCATAACCGATTGCGTTTGCATGAGATTAACATTCTAAAATTTGTTGAAATGTCTTAATAACATTGTCAGTAACCATTTTTTAGTGCATAAGCTGCCATTGCCTCTGACTGCCCGGTATTGAATTGAACTGAATTATTGTCTGGAATTATATAAATTTGTGTCATCTTTTTCTAGCCAAAGTTTTAACAGCTTATTCTAACTAGGGTTTGGCAACTCAAAAATCGGGATTGCTCCCAAGAAATTACATTGTATCTGTAGAACCCATAAATATTAAGCCAACACTAGCAAAAACAAAAAAGCATACGATCTGGGTAGACTTTGGTGAAGAACAAAAACAAGATGAGCTTATCGGAGTTAGTTCTACAGTTTTGGCTAAAAGTTTTTTAGCCCGGACAAGACACAGTTATTTCTGAAACAGTAATAACAAGCAGATAATAATAATAATTTAAAATTTACAATGCGCCGTTTCCATAAAAATGCTCAAAGGCGCAGTATAAAATGATTAATTTAAAGACCAACTCCAACGATGTTGATTTTTCTCATATTGAATCCAATTCAGAAGAACCAAGTCTAATAGAACTGGCATGTATCAATATCTCCCTTGCAACACACGTTTTTGTGTTGATAAAACACAGTTTTTGTACCTTTTTCCCCCTGGAACCCAGTCTGCATTTGTAAAAATGGACGTGTCGTCACTAATATTGAATATGAATATTGATCTCTGTGATACCTTACCGTGGAGAGGAAATACCACAGTGCGCGTGCTATATGCATCCATAGCAAGCATGGCTGCGGACGACAGCACGAACTTGAAGAATGCTCTCATTCTTCGGAAACTCGAAGAATTTCAATCCCAGTTCTTTCGCAGAATTTCTAGCAAGTCCACGAAGACGCACGATTTCCGCATTATTGTAAGTCATGAAGAAAGGAGCGCAAACTCTCGACCGAAAAGAGATAATGCGGCACAGTAGAACCTGCACACAGATCGATCCCTGACACGCGGTGCACGCACATTTAGCTCCATTTTCATGTATAAGTACGTTCGTAGCGCAACCAGTCGTGCCACGGATACCAGTTTCACTGTTTTTTTGCGGTATTACATCATACACATTTCGTTTCTCAACAGCGCCACCAGCGGTCAGATTGTGAAAAATTTTCATAGAACTCAAGACAACGTTCAAAAGTGTCGGCAAAATTACAAAAAAAAACACACACAATGCAGACATGATTTGGTCATGAATATATAATTTATCATAGAGTGAGCGGCCTCTCTTGGCGAGTCCATTGGAGCTAATTAACGTTTATCTTTTTTCGTCCAAATGCAACGACTATTTATTATATCCTACCCGTGTACCCCTATGTTTTGTAAATGTTACCCAAACGTGTATTTATTATTTAAAGCAGTGCTTTAGATGTTTAAACCTATTATAATGATATCATGATGTTATCATTCTAAATTCCGTTCGTTATTTATTTTACTTGCATTGTTATAGCCAATATGCTGAGGAAATATCTTGGAAATTCAATGTACCAGTGTTGACAAAATCTTCAAAACTCTCGATCAATACTTGAGGCAACAGCACAGTTGCTCACGTTTAAATAAGTCAATTCAACCTCTTAACGTTCAGAACGCGAAGTAGGCCTATATTTTAGTAGATTTCGTATTTTTAAATTAAACCATCATAGTAATTGCACTTATTTGAAAGTTCCAGTATAATGATGTCGATAGAATGTGTTTAGAAAACTGTACTTAACATGATGAACAAATATCATACATAATATTATATGAACATTTTGTTAACGTTCTTGAACATTGAGGTAAATATGACTTCATAAAAACAAACGTTTTGTAAAAAATTACCAAAATGTCATGAAAATGTTTGTAAGACCATGTTGCTATAGCACAATTTGAAATATTATGACAACACTGCCATTTAAACATAATTTAATGTTAATTTAATGCTAATTAAACGTTAAGAGACGTCCCGCCAATGTTAACCTTCCAATGTCATTAAAAATTCATTAAAACGTTTCTAAGACAATGCCTCCATAAAATAACAGGGTATCTTGAAAAACCTACGGATAATATTTCTAGTTTCTAACAAATGAGGGAGTATGAGCTATACCAGAGCGAGGGCCTATAGGCTACATTAGTATCCATTAAGGTAGTATTGCTCAAAGGGGGACAGAAGATCTCAATTCGTCACTGCTTTCATGACGAGCCACACATGTCGAAAATAGCATTTTGTTCCGATTTCAGTTTGTTAGGGGCCAAAATCTCGATAATTGCATTTTGCGTTTTCACGGAAGGGACACAAATGTTCCTGCCCCTCGTATACGTAGAAAGCGTGTTGACTGCATGGACACGCTGAACGTTAGATCCATCAAGGTGTTTGTTTTCAAGAAGAGCCACATATCTTAGTTACATTTATTATGATTAGACGTTACATTTACCTTTTTCCATTGTATTCGCAGTAAATGATGGGGATATGTGACATCAACTAGAGGTCGTTCACAGCATAGGCTACCCGCTTGCTGCTGAGTTTTGTCCTGATATGCATGCGACACTAAATACACGTTATGTGTCCTTAACGTAGTGTTTCAAGCATTACGAATTCCAAATCATAGAGCCTGTACTCATGCTGTGGACAATCGTAATATTCACGGATGTTATTACTCCTTCCTTCGGCTGAGTAACTTTTCCACGAGCAGCGACACCAACGGTAGAAGTGAGATGAATCCCAAGATGACAAAAGCCTCGTCGTATCTCCCAGTCTGGTCAAATATCCAACCTGAAAAGTAGAGAAGATGGCTTACTCAGAGGCATATCACTCTGAAAAAGGCAGGCGAACCTTTTGGTTGTTTTTCAGACATTAAGGGAACCGTTTCCACTTTTTGCCCGTCAAGTGTCCCAATGCCCTAAGGTCAAGGTGCCCTAAGGTGCCCTGGAACTTCCTGAGATTTTTGCTACTCCCACAATGGGAATATTAACACATAATTTCGTCACACATTTGTCCGATGGTAACGCTGAATAGCAGTCAAGGCAATTGGTATCCAGCACGTAGGCATGGCACGTCAAGCTAGCATCCATAAGTGTCACAAGTAGGCGAAGTGTTGATCCGTGCATCAATAAGAGTACCCAGCAAGGGCTTAGCAATGATTGAAATGTTACTAAGCAGAAAAACTGCACTGCTATCTTAATGTTGCCTTAGGTTCGAGCCATTATCGCTAATGGACTAATGCCTAAGTTTAATCATGCTTACGCTGTTTCAGAACATTCTCGACAGACCTTATAATAATACCCTGAGGTGCATTTGAATTTTTTGCTGGGGTAATTTACAAACCAACATAATTAAATTTGTAAAACACCAGATAAAGAGGCACATTAAATTTGCAAAACACCAGATTGAGAGGCACATTCCAGCCACAATAAGTAACCGACAAAGCTACCGACTTTACAATACATGTGTAAAAGGATATTACTTGTTTGTCAAATAAAACATACCGTTTGCTGTCTAAAGTCATTTTCTGTGTAAGTGTTTCGAGTATATCTTACCAGGGAAGAATCCCAAAGAAATTTGAAAGATTGCTGTTATAAGGTCCATCCAGCTGAAAGCCGACACCAGGTCTTCAGCCCCCAGCAGTTCCCGGGTGTAAATGTCACCAATTGATGATAGCCCTCCCACGCAACCATTGAAGATGAAGGCGTTGACAATCATTAACCAGTAAGAGCTCAACAAGGGAAGCAGGAATAGAGCCAAGCCAGAAATTATGATTAAAATTAGCAAGGCCCATCGTAGCTCGATCCAACCTTGGTCCACGACATAACCATTAAAAACCTTGAAAACCAAGCTCCCTATCCCAGCACAAGTGGTGAATGTAACAGCTTCGTATCCAGAGAAACCTTTCGACTCGGCGTAAGCGACGAAGTATATCAGCCATAGGCTGCCCACGAACACATGGCAGGCGGAAACAAGCCACGCTATCCAGAATGCGCCGCGACTGCACACCGCACAGCCTAAACTATTCCCCAGAGCAATCACAGCGTCCTTCAGGATGCAGAGGATTGGTATCTTTTCAGCATTGGGGTTTGCCGATTCGTCTACCAATGGTTCCTCTTCACTTTGGACGATTGGCAGGTAGTCGTCCCGCCCCTCTGCAGATGTTGGTGATGGCCTTAACAGGAGGCCACATACACCAAGATGCATGCTTATAGCCCCAAGCAGTAGCAAGGCACCTCGCCAACCGTAGGTGTCTAAAAGCACTTGTGTCAATGGGGCAAAGGAAACCAAGCCCACTGCATCTCCTGCAGTCCCAATGCCATTCACCGTCCCATAGTTCGTGGTGAAATAACGACCCGTCAAAGCTCTTGACAAAACATTGGTGATCATCAAGCCAGGCCCTGCAGAGTAAAACAATGATTAGAATATGAGGGTCCATGCTTGATCGTTGATCACGTTGATCAGGCCAATCGAACATTCTGAAAGAAGCCAACGTGTAGGAGGGTGATTTTGAGTAAGCTTTCTAACAGTGAGCGTGCGCAATTCAGTTACACTCAACGACCCTAGTCGGCCTATTTCCCACGTGAATGATTCATTCGGTACCTTGATGATGAAAACGCAATCATCATTTGATAGCCAATAGTACCAGTGGCCCCGGGGTCTGATACCAATCGGTCAACTACATCCGAACCATTTATCGCTCATGCACTGCTGGTTGAACCATAGAGGAAGGACACAGGAGTTGCAACTCGGGCACTTCAAAGTGCTCGATGATGGTCGCCGTTGAGTCAGACTAAGAATACAAAACATCCCAAAAATGCATGATTACTGCCTGCATCTTAGCCGGACAAGCGGGGCCAGTAATATCCTAGCAATATTTGTAGTTTTTTGCTTGCAATCAAATACAAGTTATCGATGTGACCAGCAAATAAAGAGAGAAAAATTTCTGATATGAGACCTACTTTTGCAATCGTACATAAACTTGTTAAACTTTGATACACTATCCATTATCCATGCAAAGTTGGTAATTTTATTCCCCTCCCTGCAACACATCAGATTTCAAAGACTTTGTACGAATTTGGCTAAGACTGGCCAACAAAATAGTTCATTGGGAACGAAATGGGCTATTTCATCACAGGGAATGATCGTGTTGTCCAAATGCCATAATAAACATGATTCAAACGAAACGCATTATCTTGTAAACAACCAGGTTGTTCATTCCCAAAATAACTCCAGAAGAAAGAGTTCATTAAAGGCAATGAGTGCACATATAGATTTAGGGCCCACAGCCTCAGTACATACCTCAGTACACCAAGTTTTGAGGATGCAGACTTCCATCAACAAATTGCAGCGGTGATCATTGGTACAAAGGGGTTTCGTGGTTGTGAAACAGATGGTGCGTAGCAAGCGTTTGCTGCGCTCTGGCAATGGACATACCAGGCATGCCAGAAAGCGGTAATTGGCCAGATGTTACAGCCCGGGCAGTTCAAACTCCTTTTGTGTCCTTCCCCTGTGGTCAAACTGTAGGTACGTAACTACATAGTCTAGTTCCCTGCCCCAAAATTCCCTGACAGGTTTTATAAAAATCTGAAGTCATGCATCACCTGCGGATATAATTTGTTATGGCGCAAGGGTCAGTTGTCAAAGGTTGAGAGCCCAGGCTGTTTTCCAATTAATTACAGTAGTGCACCTTGTATGTGTGGGCATTTGCCAGTGGTCGTCGAGTCCCAGTTTTTCCTAGATTCTCCTCCAGGGGGAAGACCAAAGAGACCTTCGATTCAGCGGAAATCCAAACCAACCGCTGCCACTACGATACGGGGGTTTACGTTCAACAGTTTATATTCCTGGCCGGGAATAACCAAACATTAACTGTACCATCCGAACATGTCAAATATAGACGGGATAACTACGGAATATTTCTGCTCTTTCCAGAAAACTGAAAGAATTCCACCTTCCACTGTAACTGTGTTGCATATGTTCGCATTCTTAATTTAAAAAGCACCTGACTAGTAGTAAAGATAATACCAAGC